CATTAGATTCCACATATGAGTGAGATCATGTGATACTTGTCTTTCTCTGACTGACTTATTTCACTTAGCATGATATTCTCCAGGTCCCTCTATACTATCTCAAAGGGTAAGAGATTCTTCTTTTTTACTGCTGCATAGTATTTCATGGTATAAATGTACCATAGCTTTTTTTTTTAAAAAAAATATTTTTTATTGATTTTTTACAGAGAGGAAGGGAGAGGGATAGAGTGTTAGAAACATCGATGAGAGAGAAACATCGATCAGCTGCCTCCTGCACGTCCCCTACTGGGGATGTGCCCGCAACCAAGGTACATGCCCTTGACCAGAATCGAACCTGGGACCCTTCAGTCCACAGGCCGACGCTCTATCCACTGAGCCAAACCGGTCAGGGCACCACAGCTTTTTTATCACTCATCTGCTGATGGGCACTTGGGCTGTTCCCAGATCTTAGCTATTGTAAATTGTACTGCAATGAGCATAGGGTTGCGTACATTCTTTCTGATTGGTGTTTTGAGTTTCTTAGGATATATTCCTAGAAGTGGGATCACTGCATCAAATAGCAGTTCCATATTTAATTTTTTTTTTTTAGGAAACTCCATACTGTTGTCCATAATGGCTGCACAGTCTGCATTCCCACCAGCAGTGTACTAGGGTTCCCTTTTCTCCACGTCCTCGCCAGCACTTGTCATTTGTTGATTTATTGATGGTAGCCATTCTGACAAGTGTGAGGTGATACCTCATTGTTGTTTTAATTTGCACCTCTTTGATGATCAGTGACTTTGAGCATTTTTTCATATGTCTCTTGGCCATCTGTATGTCCTCTTTGGAGAAGTGTCTATTTAGGTCCTTTGCCCATTTTTTAATTGGATTGTTTGGCTTCCTTTTGTTAAGTTGTATGAGTTCCTTATATATTTTGGATATTAATCCTTTATCAGATATATCATTACCAAGTATGTTCCTCCAATACAGTGGGCTCTCTTTTTGTTTTGTTGATGGTTTCTTTTGCTGTGCAGAAGCTTTTTATTTTGATGTAGTCCCATTTGTTTATTTTCTCCTTAGTTTCTTTTGTCCTAGGAGATGTATCTGTAAACATATTGCTATGGGAGATGTCTGAGATTTTCCTGCCTATGCCTTCTTCTAGGACAGTGGTCAGCAAACTCATTAGTCAACAGAGCCAAATATCAACAGTACAATGGTTGAAATTTCTTTTGAGAGCCAAATTTTTTAAACTTAAACTATATAGGTAGGTACATTCAACTTTAAATTCACAGTTTTCGTCTTCCGTTTTTCTTTGCTTCTTCTTTGTAGCCATCTCAAACAGGGCACCTAAAAAATGTTTCATTTTATAATAATAAAGCCACCAACACAAAAGAATTACAATTCTTAAATTGATGACAAAAATACCTGTAGGATTTGCAGCTGGTTGGAAAAATACAGGTAACTTTATGCTTCGAGTAGGTACTTTTGTCACCCGCGCGCGATTTGCGGATGCGACTAGCACTAGCCACTGCACAATGAGACTGCTGACTGACTGGCTCACTCAACTCGTGCATGAGTCGCGCGCCTCCCCCGGGCTGCATATCCCACGGGCCGCCTGCGCCGCGTCTCCCGTCGTCCGACCCACCAACACCCCCACTTCTTCTAACGCCACTTCAAAATAGACTCGCCCAGGCCGAAAACCAACTTCTGCGCATAGGCCACGAAGTTTCAATCGCACTGTACGTGCGCGCCCGCACGTGGTATTTTGTGGAAGAGCCACACTCAAGGGGCCAAAGAGCCGCATGTGGCTCGCAAGCCACGGTTTGCCGACCACTATTCTAGGATTTTTATGGTTTCCCAACTTACATTTAAGTCTTTTATCATTTTGAGTTTATTTTTGTGTATGGTGTAAGTTGGTAGTCTAGTTTTGTTTTTTTGCATGTATCTGTCCAATTTCCCCCAATACCATTTATTGAAGGGACTGTCTTAACTACATTGTATGCTCTTGCCTCCTTTGTCAAATATTAATGGAGCATAATGACTGGGGTTGATTTCTCGGGTCTCTGTTCTGTTCCAGTGATCTATATGCCTGTTCTTGTGCCAGTACCAGGCTGTTTTGATTACGGTGGCTTTGTAGTATAACTTGAAATCTGGTATTGTGATTCCTCCAACTTGGTTCTTCTTTCTCAAGTTTGCTGCAGCTATTCGGGGTCCTTTTTCGTTCCATATAAATTTTTGGAGTATTCTGTATCTGTGAAATATGCTGTTGGTATTTTAACACATATTGCATTGAATCTGTAGATTGCTTTGAGTAGTATGGACATTTTAATGATATTGATTCTACCAATCCATGAACACAGTATATTCTTCCACTTGTTTATAGCTTCTTCTATCTCTTTTTCAATGTTACAATGGTTCTTTAATACTTAGGTAATGCTAACATCTCTCTCTCTTTTTCTTTTGGTATTTATTGATTGTTTTTTTTTTTCATTGAGTTTGAAATCTTACTAGTTGACAAGTAATTTTCAGTTAAAACTTGGATATTTTGGGTATTCCATTATAAGACTGGATCTTATTCATGGGCCCCGCGTGCTTCTGCTGCACTGCTCTGCTCCTCTGGGTCGTAAAGAAGCCTTTGTTTTAGCTGGCTTCCTTTGATATACTCCACTTGTTACTGCAGGTGAGGGTAGAAGTCTAGGTTCCCCACTAGGCCTCCACTGATAACACCCTAGTGGGCAGGGTAGGTGTACTGCAAAATGACACTGTGGTTCAACAATGGATGCAACGCGTTCCACATGTATTTGTGGTGATGCTGGTGTAAACAGACCTACTGTGCTCCCAATCATATAAAAGTACAGCATGTTCAGTTATGTAAAGTATATACTACTTTATAATGATATAAACAACTATGTTACAGGTTTATGTATTTACTATACTAAACTTTTTATCGGTAATTTAGAGTGGATTCTTTATACTTTTTAAAAAATATATTTTTATTGATTTCAGAGAGGAAGGGAGAGGGAGAGAGAGATAGAAACATAAATGATGAGAGAGAATCATTGATCAGCTTACATTTGTTCACATCCTTTTGTAGGGATCGAGCCTGCAATCCGGGCATATGCCCTAGACCAGAATTGAACCTGGGACCCTTCAGTCTGCAGGCCAACACTCTATCCGTTGGGCTCTTTATACTTATTTTAAACCAGCTAGGGCTCTTTATACTTATTTTAAAAAGTTTAAAACAACAAAAAAAAAGTAAAGCATTATGCCATCTTATGTTGGCAGCAGCCTCGTACATCCAGTGTTCACTGTGTCTCTTGAGTACATCATTTTCTCTTGTGCTTGATTTAATCTCGTGTTGTTTTGTACAGTACCATACATAGCCTAGGAGCAGTAAGTGCTATAGGCTACCATCTAGGTTTGTGTAAATACGGTCTGTGACGTTCGTACAAGGACGAAATCGCCTAACATTGAATTTTTCAGACTGTGTACGCATCAATAAATAGCAGTGACCGTACTGCTAGGTTGGGGGAGGGGAACAGGCTTTCCAGGGGATCACCACTGACACTGGGGTGGAAGAGAGAGCTCATTGCCACGGGCAAGGATAAAAGTCCTGGCTTCCTACTGGATCTTTGGTTGCATCAGTGAGAATGGAGCTACATTTTTTTATGGGGTGCTTGGCTGGAGTAGAGTGGTTCTTGTCTAAAAGTTTTCTGTCTTGCTAGGCTATCCCTTTCTTTTTTTTTTGCTAGATAGAGCAGGTACTCATTGGTGTTATTTTGTCTCTGCCCATTGGCATTTCTAGTTGCCAACTTCTTTAGCTCCAAGTTTGGAATATGAAAGACAAAAAATGAAAACCCAGCAAACTTACCACCATGTTGTTACTTAGGTCCTCACCCAAGGATATTTTTCCATTGATTTTTAGAGAGAGTGGAATGGAGAGGGAGAGACACAGAGAGAGAAACATTGATGTGAGAGAGACACATGCCCTTGACCAGAATTGAACCTGGGACCCTTCAGTCTGTGGGCTGAGGATCTATCCACTGAGCCAAACGTGCTCGGGCTATTTATGACCACATTTTAAGGACCACGGATAATCATCAACTAGAAAGCTTTGATATGCTTGCTAAACATAGTGAAGTTTGTCAAAGGCCACAGTATGAAAACTTAAAAATGAAATGAATTCTGGGATACAGAAATGGAGTTAGTTTTGTTCACATCTACATCTGTACAATTGTCTTTAAGAAATGTTTGTTGAATGAATAAGCTTTACATAAGAATTTTTCTACTTTTTTTTGTAACCAGAAATGTTAATATCTGTATACTCATCCATGAAATAGATACAGCCTAATTTATTTAACCATTTCCCTAAATTTATTTAACCATTTCCCTATAATTGGACATTTTGTAGTTTTTAAAAAAGTTTTTCTGAATTAATAGTGCTGCAATTAATATTTTCATGAATAGAACCACCATCCCATATTTACTTACATAGTTACTTCTGTGAGCTGGAGTCATAGAATTAGATACACTGAATTTAGGGGATATGAAAATTTTCATGGTTTTTGATACATATTGCTTTTATAAGGACTATATAAATTTATAGAGTTATTAATAACAAAGGAGAGTGGTGTCATTGTTAAGAGTTTTGCTGACTTGTATCTGTGATCTGTTTTTGTTTTGTTTTTGTCCTGGGTTTCTTTCAGATTCTTGTCTTTTACTTTTTACGATGTCTTCTGGCTTTTGTGAGCTGTATCTGTGAACTTTACTTTTACAAGTGAGTATAAAAGCTTTGCTTCTAAAAGTGCTATGAGGAAACCCAATATAGATTATTTTTCTGATAGTATTAGCAGTGTTTAAAAATAGAAAACACTTTCCTTCGAGCTCCTAATATTATATCTAAAATGTGATCTCTTGTTTGAAACAAACTGTTGGAAGGGGAATACTTCTAATGATCACTTTTTTCCCCCTGAGTTTCATAAATACTGTAACTTCATATTATTAATTTTAATTCTGTTAATACATATCTAACTAGTCTTCTCTTTGGGAGGATTTAGTAGCTCTTTATTTTGGGTCCCAAGATATAGATAGGATCATGATTTACCTTTTCCCCTTGAGCTTAACTGACAGGAACTTATTCCCGTGTGGGACTCACTGCTCTTATTTGCATCCAGTAAATGAATTTCACCAAGTACCTATTGTTTGATTGAATATTAGTGGAAATACTAAGTATTTTAGTAATAAAAACAGCTCATTTTTTTTACATGAAGCCTAACAAACATCTTATTTTGTTAATGCTGTAAAAAGTATTTGGACTTAATGATCATTATTAAAAATCTTCCCACTGCAAAACAGCTAAAAATGTCAGATAAAAAAATAGTTGGCCTAGACTCTAGGTGGAATAGAGGAGAAAAAGGAAAGCCAGTTCTGCCTTTGAGGATTATAACCATAAGTTGGTCGTCATATGGGCTCAGGATTGAATTCAAATCACCCACATGATCCCCCAACCCCCAAGTTGAGAATTTGTTTAAAATTTTTCTGGGATGGTAGTGCTTTCAGGCTTCTTGCAAAAGTGAATGTAAAATTTCGTTAGAGGAGTGAATTCTTAACCCAAGTGTCAAAGAATTACCACAGGTAAAGTTTCAGTGAACAAGACATTATAGTAAAAATAAATCATAGAGCACAAAAGGGAACAAGGCACTATGCCTGAGAGCCAACAGACATAACGACAGATAGCTGACCCGCACGACTTCATTTATTAGGAGTTACTGAAAGGAGAATGTAAAATAAGCATCTTTAATATTTTTAAAGAAATGTAAGAGGGAATTGAAAACATAAATCAGAAATGAGACTAATCAACAGAATGAAAAGGAACTTACAAAATGGGAGAAAATAATTGTAAACCATATTTCCAAAATATACGTGTAAGGAACTCCAGCAACTCAATAGCAAAAAAACTAATAATTCGATTATAAAATGGACTAAGGACTTGAATAGACATTTCTCCAAAGAAGACATACTAATGACCAATAGATATGTGAAAAGGCAATCAATGTCGCTAATCATCAGGGAGGTACAAGTCAAAATCACAATGAGATCACTTCATATTTGTTACAATGGCTGTTAAAAACAAACAAACAAACAAAGACAACAGATGTCGGCGAGGAAGTAGAGAAATTAGGACCCACACACCGTTGGTGGGAATGCAAAATGGTAGTGCAACTATGGAAAACAGTATGAAGTTCCTCAAAAAATTAAAATTCGAACTACCAGCAATCCCACTTTAAAAAAAATATGTTTTTATTGATTTTTAGAGAGGAAGGGAAAGGGAGAGAGAGATAGAAACATTGATCAGCTGCCTCCTGCATGCCCCCTACTGGGTATCGAGCCCACAACCCCAGGCATGTGCCCTGACTGGGCATGGAACTGGTGACATCTTGCTGCATGGTTTGACGTTCAGCTACTGAGCCACACCAGCTGGGTAGCAATCCCATTTCTGAGTATTTACCTAAAAGAATTGAAATCAGAATCTGGAAGAGATATGCACATTCCCATGTTCATTGCAACATTGTTCACAATAGCCAAGATTGAAAACAAGCTAAATATCCATTGACAGATGAATGGGGCGGGGGGGGGGGAGCAAATGTGTTATATGCATACAATGGCCTATTATTCAGTCTTAAAAGAAGAAAATCCTGCAATATGTGACAATATGGAAGAACCTTGAAGACATTATGCTAAGTGAAATAACCAGTCACAGAAGGACAAGCACTGCATGATTCCACTTATATGAGGTTTCTAAAATAGTCACATTCATGGAAGCAAAAGAATTGACTTGTGGTTGCCAGGCGTTGGAGAGAGGGGGAAACAGGAAGCTGCTAATCCAGGGGTGGGCAAACTTTTTGACTCGAGGGCCACAATGGGTTCTTAAACTGGACCGGATGGCCGGAACAAAAGCATGGATGGAGTGTTTGTGTGAACTAATATAAATCCAAAGTAAACATCATTACATAAAAGGGTACGGTCTTTTTTTTTTTTTTAGTTTTATTCATTTGAAACGGACCGGATCCGGCCCGCGGGCCATAGTTTGCCCACTGCTGTGCTAATCAATGGATATACAATTTCAGTTATACAATATGAATTCATTCTAGAGATTTGCTGTACACCATTATGCTTATAGATAACAATATTTTACACTTAAAAATCAGTTAAGAGGACAGATCTCATATTAAGTGTTCTTACCACAATAAAATAAAGAAGTTAAAAGAACTGAGACTACAATAATAACCAGGCAGATTTGAAAAAGAACTGAACAGAACTTCTAGAAATGAAAATATAAGAATTGGTATTTAAAATTCAATAGATAGGTCCAGGGGTGGGGAACATCTGGCCTGCAGGCTGTATAAGGCTTACGAAATCATTTGGTCTGGCTCTGCCGAGGCATGGGGGTGAGTTAATTAAATGTTTGACCAAATATAGCAGGCTAATTTTTAAGTTGATAATGTTGTATTGCCCACAAATGATGTTATAAATATCCACATGGCCCTTGGCAGAGAAAGGTTCCCTACCTCTGGCTTAAACAGATGATTAGACATTACTAACATGTAAACTAGAAGATTGATCTGAAGAAAACACTAAGAATGCAGTACAGAGTGACAACAAATGGAAATATAAAAGAGTTAAGAATGTTCATTGCCACATTATTCACAATAGCTAAGATTGGAAACCACCTATATGTCCACTGACATTGTGTATGGTAGAGTTGAAAGATATGATATCTAATCACATTCTAGGAGATAATGGGGAGGATGGGGAGAGGCAGTTTTCAGGGAAGTAATGCCTAAGAATTTTCCAGAATTGATGAAAAAAAGAAAAAAGATGCTAACCCACAGATTCAGAAAGCCCAACATATCCTGATATGCATAACTAAAAAGGAAGAGTGTGCCCTGACCGGTTTGGCTCAGTGGATAGAGCGTCGGCCTGCAGATTCAAGGGTCCCAGGTCCGATTCCAGTCAAGGGCATGTACCTTGGTTGCAGGCACATCCCCAGTAGGGGGTGTGCAGGAAGCAACTGATCGATGTTTCTCTCTCATCGATGTTTCTAACTCTCTATCCTTCTCCCTCTCTGTAAAAAATCAATAAAATATATTTTAAAAAAATAAATAAATAAAAAGGAAGAGTGAAACTGTGTAGAACTTCAGGAACAGAGGAGATTTTGGTGTGGCTTAGTGGTTGAGCACTGATTGATTTATGAACCAGGAGGTCATGATTCAATTCCTGGTTAAGGCACATGACTGGGTTGCAGGCTCGATTCTCAGTAGGGGGCTTGCAGGAGGCAGCCAATCAATGATTCTCTCTCATCATTGATGTTTCTGTTTCTCTCCCTTTCCCTTCCTCTCTGAAATTAATAAAGATTAAAAAAAAAAAGAACAGAGGAGATCTTAAAAGTTGACAGAGAACTTAATAGATTACCTATAAAGGAATGTTAGGCTCACTGACGCCTTCTCAAAAGGCAAAAAAATAAATAGATAAATAAATATCTTCAAAGTGCTGAGAGAAAATTACTGTCATTCTAAAATTGAATACTCAGTCAAACCATCTTTTAAGAGCTAAATAAAGACTTTTCATACAAACTATAAAAGAAAGAAAAAGAAATCCAACAAAAACAGAATTTACCATTAACAGAGCTTCACTAAAGGAACTTCTAAAGGGTATACTTAGGAAGAAGCTAAATTATTTCAGAAAGAAGCTCTGAGATGCAATCAGGAACCTGAGCAATAAAAATAGTTAACACATGGTATGTCTGAGCAAATTTTGACTGAATGAAGCAATAACAATTTCTAATAATGTTTCATTTATAGGCTTTTTAAAGACCTACAAGAAAGAAGTGAAGGGAGTGTATAATTAATTGCTTAAGTTTGAGAAACCCTGACTTAGATAAGGACTTATTAACACTGTGGTGTATCTCCTAGTCTTTTTCTGACAACTATCATTCGTTGAGTGACTGCCAGGCACTCTTCTAAGCACTTGGCCATGCATTGTCCTCCCAGAAACCTTACAAAGTCTCACTAACCTCTTTACAAAGGAGGAATCTGACAGAGTGAGTATGTACCTAGACAAGGGTGTCACTGCTAGTAAGTGGCAGACTCCAGATTTGAACCTGTGCCTATGTGAGTCTGAGGCCTATTGCTTTTCTACAACATCATGCTGTTTTCCTATTGTTAGTAGACATGCCCTTCACACAGAAAGTATATCTTTCCTTGTAGGGAGAGAGCTTCTCTCCTTATGCACGTGAACATTGCTAACAAACCCGTCAAGTCCGCTCGGTATTTGACTTTACATCTTCCGTGTTCTCTGTGATGCAGGCATGTTTTTGTCTTTTGATTTGAAATTTCCATCCCCAAGATGTGCTCTGCTGAGAGTTTTTGCCTTTCTCCTAGGGCCGTGTGTAAGAAGTTTGGGTTGCATGTGAGTCGAATGATGCTTGCCTTCTTGGTTCTCAGCACTGGCATGTTCTGCTCATCTTCAGGTAAGTAAAGGAGCAGGTGAGGGCATAACAGGCTCACTGATAATTCACAGTTGCATTTAAAGAAGGAACTTGTCCAGATACAGTTTATATTTGTATAACATGTCAATAATGTGCAGACCACTCTTACCTGTACACTCTGGATTGGCTTTACAACATTAAGTAAGGTAAGTATTTTCTCATTTTTGTTGGAACTTAGAAAGATGACATGACTTACTGAAAGTCAAACAATTCATAAGTGGTAGAGCTGTTGTTTTCATGAGGTTGCTTTCTGTTACATATTATATTTTTTTGTCACTGTAAGGCTGAAAAACACAGCCCCCCCCCTCTTTCTTTGTTGTTAGGGGAAGGAAAATCATTTTATTATTTTGCTCAAGAAAGCTCTTATGCCTAAAAAACCTGTTCTTGGTGGTTCTCCTTTCTGCCCAATATTTGCAATGTGTTCTGTAAAGGTGTACATCTTCTGTTGGGATTTTTTTTTTTTCATACTGAGTTTGTAGAAATTGAGAATAAAAACCTTAATCTAGAGAGGTGGCTTTCAAACTATGCTGCCAGTGAACATTCGTGTTCTGTTAGCTGAACCAAGGTAACCTGCTGCCAAAAGGCAGCCTGTTCCCAGTCTCTGGAAAAATTGTTACTATATGTAATTATTTCAATTTTAATTTCTGCTTGCTTGTACCAGAATATAGTATACACACTAAATATGCACACAAATTGTATCCAGCTCAAAAGTATATGTTTTTTCTTCATTGACTATCAAAATCTATGTTGTTCTGCAGACACCTCAGGGCTCCACACCCAAATAACTTGAGAGCCAGTGGCCTAAATGAGACTGTGCTCTCCCCTCTGAGCTGGCAGAGACCTCAGATTCCTCTGCTCCCCTTGCCTGAACACTGGAGCTGGAATCTGTAGCTGTGGATGGCATCGATTCTATTTAGCATTTATCTGTGAAGGTTGTACCCAACGTTTTTCTAGTTACTTTGCTACTCCTAAAATTGATGCTTCTCTGAGGGAGATACTTGGGAGTGTCTTTCGTTTTGTAACCTCAGTTGAGAATGTTAAGGCACAGATTAGTTCATAGCATCCTTTGAGACAAAGCCTCATCTCTTTGCCAAGGTTCTTAAATCATATTGCCTCTTCATTGTGGTTCTTGTTGGAGTCAGTACTGACTTTTCTTCCCCAGTGCTAGGTGAAGTAGACCTCACACAGCAGGGAGATGCAGATCTGCATTTTTGTGTAGAATTGGTGGAAACACTTTGATCAAACGTCACTATTGCAGAGAACCTGAGTACAGTCAGTCCCCTGCTGTATACAACAGCAAAGTAATACTAGATGGAAATAATTAGGGGGACACCTAAGGCCACACATCTATGTCAGTGAATGCAGGATGCAAAGCAGTGTTACCATCCAACTTTTGGCCTTTGAGAAGGTTTCCCAGAATTCCTATGGGGAACAGGTTGGTACTTGGACAGCCTCAGAAGATAAACTTCTCCAGAAATAGATTGTCAGCAGTGGCTCTAAGTTTCCTGAAGCATATTCACTGCCTGGAAATACAGCCTGGGTTATACCTGGGGAACCTGGAGTTCTATAAGTTTTAGATTTGGGTATAGGCCAGGAGAGGAATGGCATGGTTGGTATTGTGTAATTGGCTGGGTGATGTGTTGGTACCTAAAAAACAGGAGTGAGAAAACAAGAAAATCATTGCATTTCTTTTTTTAAAAGGTGTCCACTTCTAATATAGCATTGCTCAAAATATGTTCCTGGTTATTGACATTTTGCAATATAGGTAAATTTTTAATAATTGATACTTAATAAATCTCAAACTCTTGTCCCTGTCCCCCTTTTTTTCATGTCTTTACTCTTACAGCATTTCTTCCTAGTAGTTTCTGTATGTATACTACATTGATAGCCATGACTGGCTGGTATATGGACAAAACTTCCATTGCTGTGCTTGGAGTAGCAGCTGGGGCTATCATTGGCTGGCCATTCAGTGTGGCTCTTGGGTAAGAAACTAACACAACTCGTCTCCCTTGTATCACTGGGCATATAGTAAATCTTAATGTTAGGTTATCTCCATATTCTCTGGATAGGATCTAAAGTTAGAGGATTTATTTGGGTCTGCAAAGACTGGGAAACGAAAGGATATTTCTCTTGGTGCTCATTGTTTTGATTAATAAGAATAGTAACTGTTAAGCATCTGCTGCGTGTTAGACACTGCTAACCCACTTACAAACTTTATTCCTAAACCTTATAAAAACTCTGCAGGAGAAATCAATTATTAGTGCTTTGTAAATGAGAGAGTAGAGTCCAAGAGGTTGAGTAATTTGCCTTTAAGATTATGTTTGCTTTTGGGTCCAGGCACTTCTGACTCTGTAGCAGATGCTTTTTCCACACTGTACCACCGTAGGCTGTGTTTTTTCAGTTGCCAAGGCTTGAAATCTGAGTTCCTTTCAGTCCTCCCTTCTTGCCCCCAGAATAATTTTTTTTAGTTTCATAGTGCCTGTCATTCCTTTTGTACTTTTTGTTCCCACCACTCTATTCTATTTGTGCTGCCTTAATTTATTGCCTGGATCACTAATAATTTAGATAAAACTTTAGTTTGATGTTTAGGTCATTATAGTAGTAGTAGTATATCTTTATTATTTTAAAAGTATTGGATTGTTTGAGGTAAAAAGAATTCTTAATTTTCTTCTCCCCTTACACAATCTTCAAAGATAGTCACTGCTAATAGTTTTGTGTATATCTTTCCAGAAATTATCCTTGCATGTATAAATGCATACACACACTTATATACCAAAATTCTTAAAATAAATAGAATTATTCTATACTCATGTAAATTTTTTATTGTACATAGTTTTATATTGTTCTTTGTATCTATTGCATAGCATTCCATTATATGGCTGTTCATAATTTATTTAGCCATTGTCTTATTGGTAGACATTTGGTTTTCATTTTTTTGTTATTATACACATGCTTCAGTGAACATTTTTGTACATATGTCTATATACTTGTGGAAATTTATCTATGGAATACATTTTTTTTAAAATTTATTGATTTTTTACAGAGAGGAAGGGAGAAGGATAGAGAGTTAGAAACATCGATGAGAGAGAAACATCGATCAGCTGCCTCCTGCACTCTCCCCACTGGGGATGTGCCCGCAACCAAGGTACATGCCCTTGACCGGAATCGAACCCGGGACCCTTGAGTCCGCAGGCCGATTCTCTATCCACTGAGCCAAACCGGTTAGGGCGGGAATACATTTTTATAAAGGGAATTCTAAGTCAGAGAATAGGCATTTTAAATTTTCTTAATTGACTTTTAAAGGCTGGTATCTCCACCTTCAATCTTTTCTTTTTTTCTGCATATTATCCTCAAATTACTTTATTCTTTAAGGTTTTGTTTGTGGTTCTCTTCTATACTTTCTGCTATCTAGTCAATCATCTCTTCAGTTTCACTCATATATTCCTAGCTGCCTATTAGATCTCTCCATTTATATTTACGACATTGAACTCATTACCTCCCTTCCATATCTGTTTCTTTACCTCTGTTTCGATCTCAGCAAATGGTACTGTCTGTGCTGAGCCAGGAACCTGAAACTTATCTGTGACTCTCTTCTCTTTCCCATGTCCTATTAATTTATTACACCTCCTGAATATCTTTTGAATCTGACTACTTTTCTTCACCTCTCACTGGTCCTGGATTACTTTACAGCCTCCTGAATGATCTTCCTGCCTCTAGTATTGATCCTTGTAAATCTACTCTCCACATTCAAATGTTCCTTTTAGAGTTATCTTCCTAAAATGCAAATATGATTGTATCACTCCCTATTTCGTTCCAAACTATATAATAGCTTCCCCAGTGCTCTGTGTCCCAGAGGTTGGCAACTTGTATCCAATGGAGCAAATCCAGCTGGCTTGTTTTTGTAAGCCCAAGAACTAAAATTTTCACAATTTTAAAGGGTTGTTAAAAAACAACACACACACACAGAAGAATATGCAACAGAGACTGTATGAGGCCTTGTAAAGCCTAGAATATATGTTGTCTGGTCCTTTAAATAAAAGTTCGCCAACCCCTGTTTCACGGTATGCAAATTCTAACATGACGCATAAAGCCCTTATATTTCCCCCCTTTTACCTCTCCAGCCTTCTTTTTTTAAGTACCTCCATTTCTTTTACTCTCTACTCCATCAACATTGAACTTTTGGAGTTCCCCAAATACCTCTGGGTCATCCGTTTTGATTGGTCTGCCTTTAGCCAAGATAAGTGATTTCAGGATCACAATCAGTTAGCAATCTACCATCATTTATCGAATCCTTTGTGCTAGGCATGGCTGATACTGTGAAAAATAAAACAGTTATGGTTCTTGTTTTTTTGGAGCTTGCATTTTAGTAGGAAAGGCAGACATTGAACAGGTAATTAAAAATATGATGACTTATGTGTTACATGACGTTGAGTCGGCTCTGACTCCTGGCGAGTGAGTGGTGTCCACAATGTCCTGATCTCAACAGCCCTGCTCAGCTCCTGTAGACTCATGCCTATGGCTTCTATGGGGTTAACACATCTTCTATTTGGTCTTCCGCTTTTCTTGTTGTCTTCTATTTTCCCCAGCATTGTCTTTTCCAAAAAACCCTGTCTTATCAAAGGAGAAATATAGCACATGGAAATGTAACCATTGGGGAGAAAAAAAAATGAAAACACAAATGTTAATGCAAAATGTAGGTAATAGAATGTGGAAATTCAAATTATAAAAGATGATGTTCTGTGACAACGCATGCTAAATAAGTCACAGAGATGTCTGGAGGAGGGGGGAATAGAGCCTATAGTTGACATTTGGGTGGATTCTGTGTGAATAGATTGGTGTAGGGAGGGAATTCTTTGTGTTGGAGCATGGGTAAAGGCTCAGACTAGCGTCCTAGATTTGGTAGTTGTGGGTATGAAGGTGATTGATCATGCAGCAAGAGTGGAAGCACTTACTGAGAAAACGAGTACAGAAAGAAAAACAGAAACTTGTTTTTGGGAACTGTGACCATAATAGGGCACTACCATGGGATAGGGAAAAAAGAAGTCTAGGAAGGAGCATTAGAGAAGAGTCCAAAAAGGAACAGGAGCTGGGGCGTCTAAAGAGGAAGGAACAGATGCTTTGTGCAAAGTGCAGCAGATAGACAAAGGGGATGAGACTTGTGCAGAGATAGTGGCTGTGCCCGAGAGGTTGGTCTTTACAGCTTGATGCTAGCGGTTCTTAACCTGTGGGTTGCGACCCCTTTGGGGGTTGAACGACCCTTTCACAGGGATCGCCTAAATACATCCTGCATATCAGATATTTACATTACGATTCATAACAGTAGCAACATTACAGTTATGAAGTAGCAACGAAAATAATTTTATGGTTGGGGGTCACCACAACATGAGGAACTGTATTAAAGGGTTGCGGCATTAGGAAGGTTGAGAACCACTGTGCTAGACGTTCAGGAAGAAATAGTGAAGGCAACATACATATTCCTTGCTTCAAGAACTTAAGTGAAAGGAAGAAGAACAAATGGTATTGGAAGAGGGTATATCAGAATTGAAGTCGTTTGTAATATGATATTGCTAAAATCTTAATATATCACGAAAGGGAGAAATCAGTATTTATTTGGCAGGATGGGGATAGAACAGTAGGCTACGTTTACCTTATAATTAATATATTTTAAATGTCCATTAGACATAAATATGTATAAAACAGAGCTCATTCCAGAAGCTCAATCCTTATATTTCTTGTGCATCGTGGGTGCATCGCACTCTGATGGGTCCTGAAGAGAACAGTGTATTTTTGAGAAGAAATCCTCTCCTGTACCACCTTTCTTCCTCAGTACAACTGCTAGAGATATGTTATTCTCAGCTCTGCACGAGGTGTGTGAATCTGACCTGTCTATATTCTCTCTAAGTATATAACTCCCCACTTTCTGTTTCTCTGTTAAATAGTTTACCTATTGCCTTTGACTTGCTGGTCATGAAGCACAGGTGGAAGAGTTTCCTCCATTGGTCGCTGGTGGCTTTAATACTCTTTCTGGTGAGTTTTCTCTTTTCCTTGTTTTGTTCTAAAATTGTAATGACAGCAACTTCTTTTTTAAATTTTTAATTTAATTTAATTTATTGGGTAACATCTGTTCATAACATTATATAAGTTTCAGGTATACAATTTTGTAATACATCATCTGTATGTTCCACTGTGTGGAAGCAACCTCTGATGTGGGAAAGAGAGTATTAGGAGTTGATTCTGTTTTTGATTTTGAAGTTTGTCCTATGAGCATTGTGAGAATGTTTCCAGAGCAAAACTCCGCAATTGCTATGTATTTTCTGCTCTGTTTCAGGTGCCTGTGGTGGTCATCGACAGCTACTATTATGGGAAGTTGGTGATTGCACCACTCAACATTGTTTTGTATAATGTCTTTACTCCACATGGACCTGATCTTTATGGTAAGGCCTTATGAGATTGGGCAAGAATGAGGAGATAGCTTATTTTGCCTGTGCTTTGAAATTTTAATTCAACTGCCTCATTTGATCAAATATGCCATTTCTTTGCTGGTAATATTATTTTCTGATTTTAAAAATAAATGTCGCTCAGCTGGTGGGCTCAGTGGTTTGGCATCGACCTGTGAACCAGGAGATCACAGTTCGATTCCAGTCAGGGCACATGCCAGGATTGTGGTTCAATCCCCAGTAGGGGGCGTGCAGGAGGCAGTCGATTGATGATTCCCTCTCATCATTTATGTTTCTATTTCTCTCTCCCTCTCCCTTCCTCTCTCTGAAATCAATAAAAACATATTTAAAAATAAAATAAAAATAAATGTCATTTGAATATAGCTCAGTGATATGTTGCCACTAAATGTTTTTCCTTGATTAATAAGATAGTTACATTTAGCTTTCTGTTGGTCCTGCTGTCTGTTATTCTCAGTTGCAAAGTAGTTAGGACTCTGCTGAGTATGCCATGGCTTTTGATACTACTCTTTTTTTTTTATTAAAAGTTACTTTTTTCTCTTCTCATTAGAAAATTAATATGATAACAAACATAAAAACATTCATAATCCCCTAATCTCCAGATAGCAATTGTTAACACCTTGGAGTTGTACATGTACACATTTGGTACTATTAATTGTTTATTTAATTCACATTACTTCAGTATCAGGCATTAGGGGGGAAAGTGTGAAAAACTTATAGATAAAGCATAGCAACTGTGTGTGTGTGTCAAGGAGGGGAGTGTCAGCATGAGAAGGTCAGTAGTGTTGACGTAAGAAAGGTCCAAACCTGTAGAGAATTTTTTGTAAGAATTTGAGCCAAACTGACAACACTGATCTCGAAGCAAGATCTCAAATGATCCAAGAATAACAGTTTCTTTTATGCATTTGAAATTAAGGAGGGAAGGAAGGAAGATTACTTGAGAATAGGAGAAAGCAAGGCAGGGATCTGATTACAGGTTGAGATTATGTGCTTTCATGAAAGTGACTACGCTTTTTTTAGGGGTCTGAAAAGAGTTATTTCAAAGGTATGTTAACCTAGATGTGCATAAACTAAAGACAGGTCTTGCTTAAGGCAAAGATAACCCTTTTACTAAATAATATATGCCTAGGACGTGACTACTCACCGTGACCTGCCCAGTTAGGCATTTATGATCAGATCACTCAGGGAGCTTCCATTCCATAGAACTCATCTTTTTTATCCACTATAGTTTGGCCAGTTTAGGGTTCAGAGAAAAAAGGAATGCCTTTAGTCCAGGGATGCATTCCCCAGTTTACTGTCATCTCCACCCCTCCCCATGCCTTTCTTTCAGTCAGTCATTTCTTCTTTTTTCCCCCCTAACCAGCCATTTGGCCCCTAAGGGCTTTTGAGTTAGTGAGCGCTATAGGGGGATGAGCTAGAGAGATCTTTCTGATCAGATCATGCAAGTCAGTCAGCAATTTATGGGACATTTTTTAATTAAAATAAGTGTAGTTTCTTTGCCTTAATCTTTTGAAGCTCTTAGAGCATTCTTTGTATGATTGTCTTAGGCTCTGCTATGAACAAAGCAGGTTAATATATTATCAATTTAAGCCATGCCCACCATTTTTTTATGCCACCCTGCCAATAGAACCAGCAGATTGAGTGAGGAGATTTAAAGTAAGCATGTGAATGAAATTTAATAAGGCCTCCTGGGATTTGGGAGAATATTGTTATTTTAGATGGCAAGTAATAGGTTAAAATAAGCTGTTTTGTTTGTGAATGGAATTCAAACTGCATGGTTAAAGAATAATTGCTAAGTGAAGGAATTACAAAAGACTCTTTTATGGCTCCAAGATCTCCAAGGATGTGACGAACAGTCCCAATTTTAAGCTTTGCCTGTAGTTGTCTCCCCTTAGCTAGGGAGTGTTTGCATATTTTTAGTTGCCGCTTGCTTCAGTTCACTTGTAAAATTTTATTTCTTTCTACAAGACAAGGGAGACTTCTCTCAGACCCAGATGGCACATTAGAAATCGGTTTACATGGAACCTACTAGAAGCATGATACCTGCTATGTTATGGGTGAATAAACTATTAATTTGAGTTTACTTTATAAAAATTGGATTCTCGCCCTAGCTGGTTTGGCTCAGTGGATAGAGCGTTGGTCTGCGGACTGAAGGGTCCTGGGTTCAATTCCAGTCAAGGCCATATGCCCAGTTGCAGGCTCGATCCCCAGTAGGGGGTGTACAGGAGGCACCAATCAATGATTCTCTCTCATCATTGATATTTCTATCTCTCCCTCTCCCTTCCTGTCTAAAATCAGTAAAAATATATTTTAAAAAAATTGGATTCTCCACCCAGCTCCTGCCCCACCCCAGGCCTTCACTGAACTATTGTCTCTATCCATGGGTTATGCATATAAATTCCTTAGTAAATTTCTATCTGCCCTCCACCTTGTCCTTCCCTCTGAGATTTGTCAGTCTGTTCCATTCTTCCATGTCTCTCGACCTATTTTGTTCATCAGTTTATTTTGTTCATTAGGTTCCACATATAAGTGAGATCACTTGATATTTGTCTTTCCCTGACTGGCTTATTTCCCTTAGCATAATTATCTCCGGGTCCATACATGCTGTCTCAAACAGTAAGAGAGCCTTCTTTTTTCATAGCTACATAGTATTCCATTGTGTAAATATACCACAGCTTTTTAATCCACTCATCTACTGATGGGTACTTGGGCTGTTTCCAGATGTTAGCTATTGTAAATAATGCTGCTATGAGCATAAGGGTGCGTAGATTCTTTCTGATTGGTGTTTTGGGATTCTTAGAATGTATTTCCAGAACTGGGATTGCAGGGTCAAACGGAAGTTCCATTTTTAATTTTTTGAGGAATCTCCATACTGTTTCCACAGTGACTGCAACAGTCTGCAGTCCCACCAGCATTGTACTAGGGTTCCCTTTACCCTACATCCTTGTCAGCATTTGTTGTTTGTTGATTTATTGATGGTAGCCATTCTGGCAGGTGTGAGGTGATGCCTCATTGTAGTTTGAATTGGCATTTCTCTGATGATTAGTGACATTGAGTATTTTTTCGTATGTCTATTGGCCATCTGTATGTCCTCTTTGGAGAAGTGTCTTTTCAGGCCCTTTGCCAATTTTTAAATTGGATTGTGTGTCTTCCTTTTGTTGAGTTGTATGATTTCTTTATATATTTTGGAAATTAACCCCTTATCAGATGTATCATTGAAGAACATGTTCTCCCATACAGTGGGTTCTCTTTTCATTTTATGGATGGTTTCTTTTGCTGTGAAGAAGCCTTTTGTTTTTATGTAGTCCCATTTGTTTATTTTTTTCTTTGTTTCTCTTGCCCTAGGAGATATATCAGTGAAAATTCTGCTATGTGAGATGTCTGAGATTTTGCTGCCTATGTTTTTTTTCTAGGATTTTTATGGTTTTGCAATTTACACTTAGGTCTTTTATCCACGCCATTGAGTTTATTCTTGTGTGTGGTGTAAGCTGGTGATCTGGTTGCATGTTTTTGCATCTGTCCATTTTTCCAACTCCCTTTATTGAAGAGACTGTCTACGCCATTGTGTGCTCTTGCCTCCTTTGTCAAATATTAATTGACCATAATTGCATGGGTTGATTTCTGAGGTCTTTGTTCAATTTCTGAGGTCTTTGATCTATATGCCTGCTCTTGTGCCAGTACTAGGCTGTTTTGATTACAGTGGCTTTGTAGTATAGTTTGATATGTAGCATTGTGATCTTTCCAATTTTGTTCTTTCTCAAGATTTCTGTGGCAATTCAGGGTCTTTTTTGGTTCCATAGGAATTTTTGGAATATTTTGTTCTAGATCTGTGAAATATGCTCCTGGTATTTTAATAGGGATTGCATTGAATCTATAGATTACTCCGGGTAATATGGACATTAGAATGTCAACTGACTTCTCAATAGAAACACTTCAGGCCAGAGGGAGTGGCATGAAGTACTCGAAGTAATGAAAAGCAAGGGCTTAAATCCAAGACTACTGTACTCAGGGAGGCTATCATTTAAAATTGAAAGTGAAATAAAAAGCTTTCCAGACAAATAAAAAGGTTAAAGGAGTACGTTACAATTAAACCAGCAATGCAAGAAATGTTAAAGGGGCTGCTTTAAGAAGAAGGAGAAGAGGAGAGAGAGACGATCTAGGCATAAAGAAAATAGAAATGGCAATAAATACCTATCAATAATAACCTTAAATGTAAATGGATTAAATGCTCCAGTCAAAAGACATAGGGTGATTGAATGGATAAGAAACATGACCCATATATATGCTGTCTACAAGAGATCCACCTCAGAACAAAAGATACACACAGATTGAGAGTGAAGGAATGGAAAAATATACTCCATGCAAATAGAAAGGAAAGAAAGCTGGGGTAGCAATACTCATATCAGATAAAATAGATGTCAAAACAAAGGCCATAACAAGAGACAAAGAAGGTCACTTCATAACACTAAATGGAAATCTTTCAACAAGAAACTACAACCCTTGTAAACATATGCACCTAATATAGGAGCACCCAAGTTCACAAAAAAATTCTTGATGGACTTTAAGGGAGAGATTAACAGCAATACAGTCATAATAGGGGACTTTAACACCCCAGTGACATCACTGGATAGATCTTTCAGACAAAAAATTAACAAGGAAACAGAGGCCTTAAATGACACACTAGATCAGATGGATCTAACTGATGTTCACAGAACATTTCACCCCAAAGCAACATTCTTCTCAAGCGCACATGGAACATTCTCAATGATAGACCATATGTTAGGGCACAAAACAAGTTTATACAAATTCAAGAAGATTGATATAATGCCAAGCATTTTCTCAGATCACAATGACATGAAGTTAGAAATCAACTACAATAAAAACAAACTCAAAAACACTCAAATACACGGAGGCTAAATAGCATGTTCTTAAACAATGAATGTGTTACCAATGAGATCAAGCAAGAAATTAAAAACTTC